GGGGGGGGAGCACAAAAGAGAGGACGCTTTAATTTCCGCTTTAAATATAAAAAGAAATCTACTTAGTGTGTCATGTAGAAACTAAAGAATACATTAGAGGTGTTTTATCAGCATGAGGTCTTCTAAATGAAGGTGTGTGTGTGCACTTGTGCAACTGCGTTACTTTGCACGCGTGTGAAATGCATATGTACGAACGCATGTGTGTGTGTGTGTGTGTGTGTGTGTGCGCACGACAGGGTCAAGGTGGAGGGCCGTGCTTACAAACAAGTGATGTCTGAGATCCCATTAACTCTTGTATTCAGCAGCGGATTTCTGTTCAAATAGAGTGGAGATAAAAGGCAGCAACAATATGCTGATAAATCAAAGGCCTTTCAAGTGAAATGAGACTACAGAGACACTGAGGACTGCATGTGCAATTTGCTGACGCACTTAAAAAGGTGTCGATATCTAATTGGAATGTTAAAGTAATTGCATCTTTGAAGTAATTACATCTTTGATGTAATCAACAAACAGGAGATTTAATATTCAGCGCTGCTGCAGTTGGCATTTGACAGTGGGCTGCTTCATGTCTGTGGCTGCTTACATAATTAATGCACGTGATGTAGAGTAGACTGAATGGAGCTGGTTAGGGGTTGGTCAACTTCACTTTCAAAAATGATGATTTGAAGACATCGTGCAACTTTGGGTAAAATGCTTTGCTGAATTTTCTTGTAAACAAACTGTTACATTTGCATAACATGCTGTGTTTTAAATAAACATTTTAATTTGTGCAACATTTACATCTTTGTGTTCACTGCCACATTTCTTTGTACATCGTTGCCAGCAACTGTTGAGACCAGCGTGGCAGCTGTGTGTACCCTCGTGTGTGTATGTGCGACTGCATGATGTAAACAATTCAGGGATCCACTGCTACACTGCTCCATAGCGCCACTAGTAGTCAGAAACTTTAAATAAAGCCAACACTTCAGTGTGACACCTGGGGGATAAAGGTTTTCCTGGGGAGAGATTTTAAATCAAGCTACCTTGCTCAGTATCCTTTACCAAAACGCCACCACTGCAGCAGTCAGCACTTCTACTAGTTGGTGAACAGTTACAGTTCGTTCTGGTCACAGTAATACCTTTGGTAATAGTCACTGTACTGGAGACTCACCAGGAGAACCTGAGGCAAAGCGGTGCCTGTGTTCACACCTGTGTTTACCTGGGCCATCGCTGCAGAAAGTGACACGTCCTCAGAAGGACAGGCTGTCCTAGCAACACAGTTGAAACTGAACATGCAGAAGTCCTTACCAGTGAGACCTCGTGCATGTTCTTTTCCTATCAAAAGGAATAAATCAATCAGTTAGTCCCAGTTAAAAACTCTGTATTTAATGTTAACTGGTACCATTTTATCCCCTGATGATTTATGTCAGGCTGCAAGGGTGGGTAACTCAACTCCTGTAAATTAAAGGGTGGCGAACTCCCCCCCCCCATCTGTGTGTGTGTGTGTACCTGATCGTATGTGTAACTCTTCTGGTTTCTTTTTTACCAAAAACATGGCTGCATGTTTCCGATTCAAAGATACTCTTAAGTGCTGCTCAGTCTTTTGCACATGTGCGCTCTCGTCTGTTTCAGCTAAGGTAATTATGTGTAACTTTTGTGTATCTGTGTGCGTGTGTGTGTGTGTGGTAGAGTGAGGAGAGGGGGAATTTTTTAAAATACAGAGGGCTTGATAATTATGGGGTTAAATGAGTGCTCTCAGTCAGCCTCCCTGAGTGTGTGTAAAAAAAGGAAGGCACAGCAAAAGCCACTTCAAGGCCGTCTAATTACCCAGAGGAAGAGAGAAACATAAATGGACGATTTTGCGGCTATAATGTTACAGCAAAACGACTACATTGACCTCAGCACGTGAAACGGAGCCACAGCTACATTTGAAGGCTCCAACACAGATGTGTGTGTTTGCATCCATATGTGCAGAATCTGTCAAGAAGCAGAATGCGTGCATGTAAGTATGAAGAATGTTAGGTGAGGGCGGATCGTGTGCAGTAATTCTCACTTGTGTGGATTCTGTGTTCAGATCTGTCTCGTTGAACGCTGATGGTTAAAGTCACATAGGCTAACTACCCAGTTTTGGGATTTTCCCTGCCAAATGTCATGGCTTTTACTGAAAATGTAAAATTGCATCGGTTCCCAGGTCTGACGATGTGATTCTGTGTGTCACTGAAAAACCTTTAGATTTGTCTGAAACAGAGCGGCAAAAAGAAGTCTGGAGGTTGAAGTTGAAATACTCCAGTGGCAACAGAGGAATGAAGAGACAGCAAACGACTGACAACATCTGATCACAGTGTGTCGATCATGCCGTTTGTTGGTAAAACTTGCTTTGAGCATTAGAAGAAAGAGAGAGAGAGACAAGTCAGAGATTCATGCAAAGTGAAGTGCCTTTTCCATGGCCTGGTACCGGCTCAACTCGGCTCGGCTCTACTCGCTTTGGTACTGGGTGCTTGGTTTTCCACTGCAGAGGGTCCCAACACGTCTGCCTGCCTCATCCTGTGACAGGCAGCTGGGCCATGCAGTGGTTTAACTGGTCAGGCGTTTTTCAGCCTTGCTGCTGCCACAGATGACAGATTTTTTTCTTTGTGCAGTTAATGTGTTCATTGCCATCGGGATGAAAAGAGAATTTCAAGAAACGTAACAAAAAGCCTACCCTGCCTTTAATATGACCAGCAGGCCATTCTGTCATCATCTCGAGGCTTCTCCTCCATCTTTGAATGCTTCCTCATGTATTTATGAGCAGCCCATCTTATCTAAACCTCGGCCCCTCCTCCACCCTGCTCCCACACCATCTCAGCTCCCATCCCTCAGCTTTCTGCTACAGAAGCACTGCGTTTTGTTTTCATGTCTCTCAACATTAAAAGCGGTTTAACAGTTTGATCTTAGCTGCACAGTTGGGGTGTGTGCATGTGTTTTGCCAGTGAGTTCAAGATGTTGATGGATAGGAAAGGAGCTGTGTGCGTGTGTGTGTGTGTGTTAATATGGAGTGTAGTGTGTGGAAACTCTGCCTTTAAGTGATAAGGTATTCACTTTGTAACTCAGCAGGAGGCCCAGCAAGTAGCACGAGATCTGCCCCTCTGTAGTGCTGATGCCACACACTTCACACACAGACACTCATGCAAATGGACCCACACGCACACAGACTTGTCCATCTCAGCTGACAAAATAACTTTTATCAGAAATATTCATATTCAGGAAAATCAGCGTTTCAAGTGTTCAAAGACTTGATACAACTTGCAGACACACACATCCATCTGTCCACATCTGCCCACTCACACACACACACACACACACACACACACACACGCATATTTATACTGCCTCCCACAAAAACAATTACAGTGCCCAGTCTGCACACACACACATACACAGCCTGTTTCAAACACATGCGGTGGAACTCTGTCCGAGGCTGCCTGGTGAGCTGCCTCCATCGCTGCGAGCCGCTGTGATGGCTCATATGTCAGCCAGCATGCTGGGAGCATTAGCAATAACTGGATTTCTCCTAAGTTATTGAAACCCATTTGTAAACAGAAACATGAAAGCCAACAAACTTGCACGCAGCTTCACTTGATCATCAAAGCCTTATCGATCAAACGGTGCTCCTCCTCCTCACTGCACTGAAAACCAATAGCAGCAAAGTACAGGCCATGTTTTAAATGTCCACTTTTCTGACTTTCATTCCTGTAGGTGTGTGTGCCCTGTTCTGATGTCCATATCAGGGAGCAAATGCAAATGTGCCAAGTGAAGATACTTACACTGGCATCCTTGCCATCACCTGTGTAAATTTGCACTTCTAAGCCTTGGTGATTCAGTTAAAAGAAAAAAAGAGAGCATAGATTTTCTTCTCTGGTTCGGTGCAACTTGTTTGGTCTTCCTTAAGCAAATAAGAAATGGATACATGCATTATTGTCGTGGTCTTGGATCATTTTAGTGGTCTTCTCATGTAATGATAGTCCATCAAAGGTAGAAGGAACAGAAGCTAATGAACAAACCAGACGCCTAAAAAAACTACTGCAAAGAGAAACCTATTGGAATGTTGATGCTTTAATATACCCTGGACTGAATGAAGAAATAGACTACAAACCCTTTGTATTATAATCGTGTGCTGCCTTCACTGCGGCAGTTAGCTTTATTTTTATTATAATGTTATTTTGTATGATATTGAACTTTTCATGTCAGTGTGGTGTCTGTTTTGCAGTGACTGTAGTTTTAGTACTTCCAGGGTACTACCCATAAAAAGTACCAGGTTATTTCATTCAGCACTTTAACTGCTGTGATAAGGGAACCATATGGAAGAGGTTCGTCCTGGTTCAGGTTCCATCCACTGTTTTCATCATAGTTTACACTGCAATATGCAGTGAGTGGGTGTAAACAATAAGGGGGGGGGTTTCAGTTAGTGGTTGAACCTGCAACCTCACGACTTAATTCTGGGTTGTTGTGTCTCGTTAACAGTCCAACAAAGTGTCGGTGGTGCAGCAGTCTCACGGGATGCACCCCCTGACGTCCCTCCTCCCCTACAGCAACGAGCACTTCAGCCCGAGTCCTCCACATCTGCCCACAGACATGAGCCAGAAGACAGGTGAGAGCACACACGTTGGCTTCGGCAGCCTGTGGCAATCCCACGGCTGCTCTGAAGTGGCCTGCTCCTCTGAAGGGACCGCCAGCCACACACACACACACACACACACACACACACACACACACACACACACACACAGCGCGAGTATGGTGACAATCACACAAGCCATAGCTGCAGCACACACGAGGTTCTCCTTAGCGAGCACTGTACATACAAACACTCAGTGCTCTGCTTGGAAGTCACAAACAAACACACCCTGACATTTAAACACTAGAATTTTTGCCCTGCTGGAGGTGGGGCCACTCCGTCTGTCGGTCTCACTTTATGCTCTAGCACAAGACATCTCAACTACAGGCCTGTGAATTTGCTGGATCTCTTTAAGATGATTCATCATGACTTTGGCAAACTCGCCACGTTTCAACTGGCATCATTCACTGTCAAATCTAAATTTCATAAAATCAGAGCAGCACAATCTGCTGAACACAGTCATGGTCATTTACACAATTTCACTGTGAATTAGATGCTACAGTAGGATGTCCATTAATGGTCGGACCCGTGTTTGGTGGCGGCCAAATCGTCCCACATGTCCAGGCCAAGTGTGTTAATAGGTAAATGAGAAGCAAATATGGTGTTAACTGCCACATCTGGAAAACTTCTGGCAAGATAGGACCAATAACCTTCTGGTGTATGTTATGGGCAAGCAGCTGGGAACTCAGGCAAAGAAATTAATTTAGTGAAATAAATGTTTAAAATACCCCTTAACTAAAGATGAGCGACAGAAGAAACAGGAAGAAAGATGGAGTGCAAGAAAAGAAAGAGAAAGCGCACACACATGGGCAAGTGAGTGATTAAAGGAGCGAGTGTGAGGAAATGAAACTAAATCAACTTTTAATTGGCAATTATTCTGTGGTTCATTAGTGGTATATGATGTGCACCACTCTGCTGACACTCATACACAGAAGCCTCTTATGAATGGGTCCAGCGTGCACTGTGCACTATTCAAACCACCCAACATTTTGATGTGTGTAATGAGCACTGCAGCGTTAGGGGCCAGTTGTGTTTATGGATTTCCTGTACATACAATTATGCTGAGTAACACATACATTTAAAACAGTCAAAATGCTTATTAGGGTAGAAAGCTGCTTCTCAGGATGATGATGGTTGACCAGGATAATGGAGATAGTTTGACAATACCTGATTATGTAACACTAATGTCGATTTGATAGCTTGATTTGTACAGAATAATAAATACTAGACACAGAAGTCACTGTAAAACAGGGAGAAATGGGAACACAGGAAGAGGTTGTGAGCAAAATAATGGCGTGAAGAGAAACTCTGCTGTGATCAGACGGAGTCCAACCTCAGGCAGTCCTGCTGCTTGTCTGGAAATCCCCCCCTCTACAACGTACACACTCTCCTTGTCTTGTTTATCGTCTGTGTGTGTGTGTGTGTGTGTGTGTGTCCATGGCCAACGCTGGCAAAGTGACTCAGCCTTAATGACAGACTGAGCCACCTGCTTCGAACCCCACGCACGCACAGACACACACACAGCTAACACCTGGCTGCTGCACAGAACCCGCCTCACCCCATCTCACCTGACGCCTAACTATGTTACCATTAGGGAACATCACAGCACATTACCTCAGCCCTCATTCGTCAGCTCATCTCAGGTAGGCTCACCTCATCAGTGATGTCATTTCTTTGCACACCTACCCACTCCTTTGTTCCCCTGCACTACTGAGCTCAGCATGGGTTGATACAGTTGACAGATGCTGACAAACTCAGAGCTGATCTAAGGAGCTTCATCATTCAATTACAGTTTTCCTAGAAAGATGTGATAATCCAGCTAGTGTTTGCAAGTTATGACCTTGCTTCCCAGCCTTTGAGCGCAGAAACCTCCCGTTAATTATCCTGCAGATTTATTTTGCAACCATCATGTTTGGAACTGCTGGCTCAGATTCTGCTGGTCTATATTGAGTTGTACTGAACACTCAACTGTCAGTTTATTAGGTACATTAGCTAAGACTAATGCAGTTTAATCCAAAAGTCCTGCTACAAATCAAGGTGATAAGGTTCAGTTAATGTTGGAGGCTGGTCTTTGTGCGGCTACTGACTTTGTTCATCTCCTGGTACTCTGTATATAGCAGCATCATGGTGTCCTGTCCTTTACTTCACCGTGTTGATGGCAGCTAATAATATGTTCCGGTAACGCAGCGGCCTCTTACTATAATCATCATGCACTGTTTGCAAATGGGGAAAGTCTCTGGTTGTATTTGTGCTAGTTGACACCGGTCCTCCTTTAACCCCCCCCCTTTATTGTGCATTGAGCTCACAGCTCTGTTTGTCACAGCACAGTTTCCATCAGCACCCACTCTCTGCCTTCTAAAAAAAGTCACTGCAGGACATGTGGTAGTATTTCACCTTTCATCTTTCTCGTTAATTCCCCAAATAGTGAGAGCTTAAAAAGCCCTATTGTGTCATGTACCATTACCGTATATCATGTTGCACCTCATTTATAGGAAACTTTAAACTTTCATCTTTCTTCTAAAATTGGCAATTGGATTAGGGTTTAACATTTTTCACCTTTTTTGGCATCAGCAGCACCATAATAATCCAGCCCAGGGAAACTATGAACTGGCCTAATGCCAGGTTTACATTCAGCTGCAGTAAAGTGAAGAACCAGGACAGCGGCGGTGCAGAGTCAGCCACACCTAAGCTTCCCGTCCTCACCTCACCGATACCGCAGGAGACTTCAAATAAGAAACTTGCACTGACAATGACAGAGATGCAAGGATGCCAGTTTCCATGGTAACCAGGGGGCTTTTTAGTATACGGCCTTGTTTATTCTACTCCTGTTGTTGTGTTCTCATGCAGCCATGCTAGTCAGATCACAGCAAAGTAAAGGCTCCCTCTGAAGCTGCTGTTCCAGCAGAGCAAGACAGCGGTGTGGGCAGCTGTAGAGAAGACCGAGGGGTTCAGGCATCTGTGGCAGAAAGCATCAGACACTCAGCTGAGGTAGCAAGAAGAGGATTTTCTCATAATTTCAACAGGGAAAGAAAACAATGGATCATATAGATCCTAGAATGTGAGAAGCATATACACAGACTCAGACATAAACTATCTGTACAATAAAAAAAAATAAGGTGATCTTATAATAAACTACATTAAGATAATATTTTTATACAGAAAATGCGGTTCACAGTGTGACAGTATCTTCCTGTCGGGCTGTTTGACACGCTGACCAGGTGGTCGGTGGCATTGGTAAGTTCTCCTGCCAAACCACAACACTGTGATTCAGAAGTCGAGCTGTTCACAGGCGGCTGAGTGCCGCCACATTACACTGCCTGTTTTTCAGATGCGACTGTTGGCTCGGACATCAGAGCATATAGTAAAAAAAAGTGAAAAAACAGAAGTGAAACGCGTCTGCTTACTGTCGTACTGTCATGTGTGAGATGTAACACTTACTGTTGAGTCTTGTGTGGTCTTGAGGTATGACATTTGAAAATAGAGAGAGCAACAAGCTGTGCAGATGTGTGGACTGAATTTTCTATCATTTGTGCAGTATTACTTGAAGGACAAGCCTAGTGATATCCAGTATTTTTCTTATTGTCAACAGTACACGTCTTATTGATCTCTCTCAGGTGTATCTTATTTCTCTGTACCAGAACTCCATGGTTGTCCAGAACCTATTAAACTACATTTTTTGCACTGGGTAGGCCGCATACATCATCGTGCCGCTGTAAATAGTCAACCTAAGTACCGGATTTGCATTAATCTGCAGCTGAAAATGGTCCTCAACAAATACACTGTTCACTCATGTTTGAGTAATCCTTGCCAAAGTGCAGGAACCAGTGAGCTTGGTGGACAGACGAATGAATTAGAGCACTGCAAATTAATTTGTATCCAAGTATTTTCTCTTTCCTCTTTAAATAGTTTAAAATGGTTTTTTTTACCTTACTGTTGCCTCCAAGCTTAACAGTGTGTAAGATGATAGATCTCGCCATTACAATTACATTAAAAGGGATTACTAAATAATTTGTTTTTAATTTGAGGGGGGGGGGGGGCATTTAAAAATTACCATTTTACTCCTAAAATGATGTTCTGTTTTAATATTTTGTTAGTTGCTCTGCAGAGAAAACAGGATAAAACCCAAAGCACAAAAACGCACCATATCACTTAAAGTAAAATGTGTTTAAATGATTAAAATACAAGTTATTTACTCCTAAAACTCAAAATCCCTTAATAAAATATTTCACATTAGACCCCCAGTGGCCATATTTGTCCGTGTTACCTTCTACATTTTTGAATTGATACTGATAGTGTGAGTCATTGTGCTTAAAAACAACATGAGAAACTGTTTTGGAAATGTGATGAGCAATAAGACAAACATTTAGAGTCATAGTAGACATGGCTCTTCTAGTCTGTAGTTTTACAGTGTAAAAAAAGGACTTTTACTATTACTGTGAGTTTTGATGTTTGCTCTGAACTAAAGCAACTCGTTCTGTCCTTGAGTGAAATTTCTCAGCCTTACTGTAATAAAATATGGCCTTTCTTCTGGTATGGGCTCTTTTATGTACACCACACAGGCTGGCTGTCAAGTCATTTAAAGGCTCGGAGGCTGCAGTGCTTTTACTTTCAGTGGTTATAACCACCAAAGCACATTATTGGTGTATCTATACTATTTTCAGCTCCTCAGTTTTCTCAGTTTAACATGCACACGTCCTGATAGCAAGCTCACACAGAACCGCTTTGACTCATATGGTTCCACTTTGAAGTGTTTCCCAAGACACTGGCATGGAGGCTGAGAGATAGTTGCTGCAGTTGTTATTAGACAGCAGCTTTAAAAAGGGGCATTCCAAAGAAAACTGCCCCATTACTGCTGCTAACTTCCCCCTGCACATTTCCCAACAGCAAACAGAGCTGATAATGTCAAAGCTGAAGCAGAATACAACGTCATGTTTCCATCACATTCAAGTGTGGCGGGTTAACAGCTCAAATGAAACCGCATTTAGGATTTGTGTTTTGATATTAGCCATACCGTCAGTTCACCAAACACAGGTTATTTCAAAAAAGGATGTAAAGTTCACCATCTCGATATCACAAAGAGTATTGTTTCTAGTCAGTATTACTCAGTTTACCCAGTAGTTAATGTCTGCTATAAATATTTTACTGGAACAATCTATTTGAGCGCATCAGATTTAACTCAGATGCTCATCAGCCCATTTACAATATTTGCATAGACAGAAAATCTATTTTAGCCTAGTGACAATAGGCTCCTGGCAAAAGACCACAATATTACATGTTGGTGTGTTGGTACAGGATACTAGTGAGAAGACCTGACGCCAATGAGTGGGTACAGTGTTTTCCCCTTATCATTAAACAAAGCAAACATCTGGCTGTCCCGAGCCAGAATCAAACATAATTTCAAAATTTCTGCCCAAACCCTCGGGAACGATAGGTCCTGTACATGATGGTACAGTTTCTGAATGAATTAAAAGCGATGCATAATTCAAAGTGTACCTGAAAAATAAACTCCTTCCACTTAGTAGTTCTATAGGAACCTAATGTTGCACTTCTTTAGTCGGGTGGTGCTGACAAATAATGTGATGCTGTGCTGCAAAAAAGTCGAGCTTTCAGACAAAAAGTCCCTTCGTTTATCTTTTTTTTTTTTTTCTTGTGTGTTTGTCTGCATCATGGAAATGAATGAGGAGTCCTTATGTTTTGTCACACAGTGCTGTTTCCAGTCTGAACACCAAGCCTGTTATTACAATAAGTGGAATTTACCCTTATAAAGTCTTCAGTATGTTGGATCTTGTTGTCTGAGTTTGAGGCCTGCTGCTGAGAAACCTCCTCCGTGATGTAACCGTGACACATGCACAGCTCTGATGGGAAAACGTTACAGCAGGGATCAGACAGCCAAAAGTCCCTGCTGTTTTAGTTATCATGTCTGTGGAGTAGTGCGCTGGAGCCCTGATGAACACGCTTATGGTGAATTAGACTTAGAACAGATTTGAACTTTTTAAATTCCAGTTAATTGTAATATCTGCTCAGGTAACCAAGACTTTGTTTTGATGCACTAGCTATAAGCTTGTTTGACACCGTTTTGCTCACTTAGCCTGACATCACTGGGTATTCCACTAAAATAAAAACCCAAACTTAAGTTTTCTAAAGCTTCAACTTGTGTTGTTTGAACAAACCACATTAATACTAAATAAATACAAGAAGTGATGACTGACACCTTAGAATGTTTTTATTTTGTTTGAAATGTATTTGTCTAACAGCAGAGTGTCTAGTGTCACAAGCAGGCAGCGCTGAGATGAAGGTGAGGTAGAGTAGAGGGTGATTGATACATTTTGAGAACAGATGAAGAGGAGGGTGGGAAAGGAAAGACCTGAGGCCTGTAATGAAGGAAGGAGGGCAGAAGTACAGGGGGAGAGCAAAGAGAGGTGAGAAAAAGGTGAGAATGAGGACAAAAACAAGTACTTTGAGAACCTGGATAGTGGACGGGAGGAGGAAGGGCGCGGCAGGACAGACGGGGGAAGGGGAGGAAGGACCGCAGTGGGGAGACAGGTCGACTGACTCAGTCACATTCCTGTCATTCAGATTTATAGCAGCTCGGGGTCCTGAAACAGGCCTGGAGCCACATCCAAATTACAGTCATCGACAACATTCCTCTGCTGCAAACACAGGCTAGCAGTCAGGCCACACTAAATGCTAGGTGCCGCCTGCTGACAAATGACTTCCTTTGAAGGGCAACGAGAGAGAGACAGAAGGAGACGGGATATTTACTGAGTCGAGTGGTCTTTTTCCTAAAAGCAGAGATGTATGTTTGTGTGCATGTCTGTGTGTGTTTCTCAAATGTGAGTTTGACCACGGCCCCTAACGTGTGTAGAATAAACCAGTGCAATCAACTGGCGTCATCAGTTCCCAGCCCGACACACACACACACTCATACTGCGACAGGAGCGCGAGACCTGTGGAAAGGGTATCTTTGTGTTTAATGCCAGGTTCCCAGGCTGCTAATAGCCCAGGGGACTCAGGACCAGGGGCCGCTGACCCAGCCTTATGAGTATGTGTGTTTAAAAGACAAAAAGAATGCAACACTCATTGTGTGTGCTTATGACGTTTGTAGCGACAACATGCGAGACAGAAAAGAGACTACACTGCTGCTAATCCGAGTGTGTGTACGTGTGTGTCCTCCAGGCGTTCACAGGCACCAGTCCCAGGACCTCTCAGGGTACTACTCCCTCCCTCCAGGCGGTGTCGGCCAGATTACTCCCTCCATGGGCTGGTGAGTCTCACACGTACACGCTCATGCAGACACACAGCTGTACAGGCTGCGGCTCACGTAATCTTTTTACATACATACAATGAAAAATGACCGTGCACTAACTCAAACTCATAACCTAAGCATCACAGGAACACAGGGAGAAAATTATTCTGCAACTTTTATGAACTGATTAATCATTTGAGCTTTTATGCACAATGTCCCAGGCTCCGAACGTAAAGATTTTCCCGGTGACAATTGTGAACTGAAAAGCTTGGACTTTGATTTTGTGTTTTCAACAAAACAAGTGATTTGAAGCAGACTTTGGGGAAGTGTGAAAGACATGTACTGTATCACTTTCTGACATTTTATAGACTGAATGGGTCGATTATGGAGAAAGATGCAAAAGAATGTGGATTGACAAATTAATCGGCACCATTTTCATGATCAAGTCGTCCTTTTTCTGAAGTTACAAAATCTCACTTGTTCCAGCTTCTCAAATTTTCTGCTTTTCTTTGTTTTCCATGACAGCAAACTGATTATCTCTGGGTTATGGACTGTCTGTCAGACCAAACTATGAATCTTAACGCATCTGCTGCACCTTTGCACCATTGTCTACTTTAGGACCTGAACATTTAATCAGTTAATTGGGAAAGATAATAAAAATAGTTGTTACTCACAGCTACAAACACACTTCTGCTGCCAAACTCTGGTGTTTGTCTATAGCAGTATTTCCACTATTTGCCTGTAACTAAATATTCACTCTTCAAATTGATTAATGAAGCTGTAATGTTCCCCCAAAAGACGTCAGCTAACAAAAACACACTGTGACCTAGGTCAGTGGTGCATGCATCACTGTCTCACCTGGTGTCAGAGGGGCTAACAAGGCCCCACCCTCATGGAAACCACCTGCTTTGATCCTCGGTGCCGAGGCCTCTTATTTCAACCTGTCCACACTAAGGGAATGTGGACAACTGCACCAGTTTGATTAGATGTTCACCAAAATGGTGCTAATTAATAGTAAAATCCATATGAACACAAGCCGAGACACCAAAAATCTGCATCTATCTAGCAACAAGCAAGTCCTCAGAGTGCACGTTTACACTGGCTAAAATCCAGTGATCAGCCAAGAGACAGCGTGGTTTCAAACTGGATGTTGTTGCCATGTATAAAGGAGACAGCAGTGAGTTCAAGTCATGCAATGTTCTGCCTTCTCATCTAAATACACAGCTTGGTGAATTCTGGGAAATGTTGGCAGGTCTAGCTAGGCTCCGCTGCGTTTTGGTTGACAGCAGGAGAAGCGCTCTCAGCCTGTCTCGAGCCTTACTGTAGTTTCTTGTGTGGTACAGAGCAGCAGCAGTGGAGAAAGCTCTGCAGAACAGCCACATCTGTTCCGTGTTTGGAGCCGAGTGTGAGATCGCGATGTTCTGCTGTTTGATTGTGAACTTATAATGTCAGACTCCCACTGATTTACGGATCAACACAAAGCCATTTATTACAACCTACAGCGTCTGGGCCTGGACAGAATCCCCTGCAGGAGCAGATAAAGGCTTTCGTTAAATATCACTCCGAGTTGGAATGGAAGCTGTACGTTTGCTTACATGTGTGTCTGTCTGTAGGACGATTTGTCCTCAGACGTTTTTCAAGTCCGATTTACAGACGCTTTATCTTTGTCAGACATGAATATTTCACTTTGGATTTTCACAAGTACTATTAACAGCTAATCTACTTTAATCCAGATTATCTTCTTGTTTTGGCCCCTTGGCGTGCACTTCTTTTTTTTTTTTTTAGAGGAGGAGGGGAGAGCAGAAAGGAGGAGTGATTAAATGTCAAGCTATTGAGCTTTAGCCTGGTCTCGCCTCCTGTCCCTCCATGACCCCCCCAAGCCGGTCAGCTGCTCAGTTAGTCGTCTTAGATCAGGAATTATTTCATTTTGTTGCTTATAAGGATGCAAACTTGTTTTAAAACGATGTTTTAAAGCCTCTTAAACTTGTACTGAGCCAGGCAGTGGAGTGAAAAGCTCGCTGTCCTAGAGCGGGGAGACACAATAGTGCCACATAGTTTCACATAGTTTTTCCTGGAAAGTTAAGCAGGTAGGACAGAGAATTCTTGTGAAAAGATCCAACTACTGTAGTAATATGAACAAAATGTTCAGCCTCTGTTGCTGAAACATCTTGTTTGTTACATCTCCTCCACTCTTGAGTAGCTGGAATTACAAGTATGTGGGAGGTTGAAGACTGGATGTTCCTAATGTGTCAGCGATCGAGTTCAAGTACTGTCCAGAAAGTAAAAAAATATAGTCATGCTCTGTGGTCACTTTTGTACCCCAGGACAGTAGGATTGTACTTATAAATGCTTTAAATTTCTGAAGGGCAGGAGTGCAGTCAGACAGGTTTTATTCCGTTTGCTGTCAGTTACTGACATTTTCAAACTCGCTGCCTTGAAACTCAGCATTCAGGGATGGGATCACTTCGTTATCACGCATAGTCAAAGTCAAACAAATCAAACACACAAGGCGCTGACCAGTACAGTGGAGAGGGTCGCCTAGCTTTTCATTTCACTCTCAGCATACCTCTGTTCAGCCATGCATTTCACATGGGAGGTAACTTTCTGTTCGAGCGTGTCACCGCCGTCACTCAGCAGCTGCTGTCTGCAAAGGCTGTGATGTCTGTAGCCTGTGTGATGGTGTGTGAGAGGGCTGGTGTTTCAGATGGTTTTTCTTTTGTGGCTATGGACCAAAACTAAATCGTGTTGCCTGATGGATGGATCGACATATCACAGACTCTGGCCCCTGGTGTGTGCAGCTTTCTGAGGAGATGAAAAGCAGGTTGAACAGCCTTTATCTGAACATTTGATCTGTGCTGTCATGTGACCTCAGCGAAAACAGGATTAGCCCAGTGATCTCCGAGTCTCTTGCCAGCCAAAGGCCTCGGCTGCTGGGCTTTACAGGACGGATAGCTGAGAGGAAGAGGAGGAGATGAGACGTGGAAGCGTATGTGATGGTAATGATGATTGTAAGGGTAGTGTGTCCATGAGGATGAATCAGTTGAAGGGGGTTGGCTGTCTGAGCTCTCGGGAGGCTACATATCAAAGGCTCTTGCTTACATCCTACTCCCACCCTCGACCTCCCGCGGTGAGTGCCTGACTACCTCTGCTCCTGGTCAGTGAAGACACACAGCTGTCAAAAGTGCTTTGCTTCTACAGCAGCTACAGTATTAGAAGTGAAATGATGAATATTAGACAGTATGCAGGTTTCACTCCACAAAACAGCATCTCATTTGACAGTGTTTCTAACGGTCTCTGATTTTTACCGAATGTAATGATGACATGACATTTTAATTAAGATTACAGTAGAATTAAATCAACCTGAAGGATTAAAAGGCACCAACTGTTGCCGTCTCTCCCTCTGCTGTGCTGTGGCAGGGTCTATCCTGCCCTGTCCCCCTGTGGATTCAGGCAGACCTACTCCTCCAACCTCCCCAGCGCCGCCTCCTACTCCAGGTACTGTAGCCGGCCGGTCGCGCTGAGCCAGGCCGAGCCAAGACAGATAAACCAAGCAACGCTCTGCTTCATCAGCTCCTGTTTATAGCACACTTAAAATGCCTGAGCCGGAGTTTTACATTCACCACAGCTGCGGACTCATGTTCGGCTCCTGTGTCAGCTTTCAGTGGGCCGCTGCAGTAAGAGTCCATTTGGAGCTAGTGTGCTGTAAACATGACCAGTTCAATGTTTCGCCAAGGTTTCGCTGAGTCAGTCGTGCTAAGCTAATCGCTGCTGCAAAATACACACACACACACATAATATGGACTCTTCTCCACCGTGAGTACCATCAGGGCTTAACTGCTTTGTTCCAAGCTTTGGCTGCCTTTTATCTACATTTGTATACGTTTCTGACCCACGGTACTCACTGATTAAAAACACCAAGCTCTGTCAGATTTCTGTGCCGTTCGGTGCAGGTGACACAGAACACTGCACATATTCGTGTGAACCTTGTGACCCTGCTGAGAGTTTGTGACAGTTATAAATTCTTCATACTGCACAGCCAAGTGTTTTGTTACTTAGTGTGTTTGTCTAAGCTGCAGCTCTGCTTTGATTCATTTGAACCTGTACTACCACTACACATCTCTGTACACACACAGACAGATGCTTTGCCTGTTCGTCAGGTTGTCTGAGGTGAGAAGCACAAGACCCCGGCCGCGTAGAATCACTAACCTTTCACACAGTTTGGTTCTCAGAAGGGAAATCCACCTTCTAAACATTATCTAACTTCTAAGCCTTTATTTATGAATGTTGTTAATTATGTATTTCTGTTGCTAGTATCTAAACGTAGTGCACTAAACGCCCCCAGATTGTGTCATTTAGACTAAATAGATTTTTATTAGACATGGATGGTAAAGTACTTTTCTCATCTCACTCAGTGAGGATGGGGCGCCATCTAATGGTAGCACATGCTTACACCTCTGCTGAATAAAATAAAGCAGCACATCACATTTTAAGCTCTGTGCTCCACATGAAGAGCCTCCAGTCATATATAACTTTTTAAAGCGCTGCTGTGTCAACCTGTGTGAGCACACAGACGAGAATCCTGTTTTCAGTCAAACTGCCATTGTACGTTTAATATTAAAAAAAAACTGTGGACACAACAAGAAACAGGTTCCCCAGTTGACTCAGCCAAGGCAAAAACCAAACCACACACACACCTGCTTGACATAAAAACAAAAACTGCACTAAGATGATCAACCAACAGCTTTTCACACCACCAGGCTCATCGCTCAAAGCTCTTGCTCCTGCTTCGATGCTCACCGGCTTCTCTGCACTCGACTTGACACATTTCTCTGAACTGACTGAAGCTTTTCTTGTCACTTTCTGTCTCTGTCTTCCTCCACCCTTCTCTTTTCTGTTTTTTTTTTTTTGTGTGTGTGTGTGTGCTCCCACCAGGAGCCCTCACTCTCTGATGCTAGGCCCATCAGGCATGCATCCTACAGGGATCCCCCACCCTGCTATAGTGCCCCCCACTGGCAAACAGGAGCATGAACAGTATGACAGGGGCATGTATGTGTAAGTATTGTCCACCCTTTGTGCCATGTTTGTGCTGTTTGGCTTAATTTTCCACTCATTCCCCATCTGTCACCATCTTCATCATATCAGTGGGTTCTATGAGTAGTATTTAGAAATGCTCTCCCCCCCACCTCAGGAAGCCACAGGTAGAGGCCAAGCGGGAGAAGGAGCCCAAGAAGCCGGTCATCAAGAAGCCCCTGAACGCCTTCATGCTCTACATGAAGGAGATGAGGGCAAAGGTCATCGCAGAGTGCACATTAAAAGAGAGCGCCGCCATTAACCAGATTCTGGGACGGAGGGTGAGGGATGCACACACACACAACTAAATGCAGACTAATCCTGTTTCCAGGTCAGTCTTTAATTTCACATGAGGAACATGGGTAGTGATAGACCAGTAAATCAAATGGGCTAATATTTGGCATTTTTATTTAGATAAATCAGCATTAGCTGATGTCTGCACTCACAAGGGTAATGTGTTTGATGATTAGATGTAAATATGAAGATCTTCTCTCACTCGTGTGTCTCCAGTGGCACGCACTGACCCGGGAAGAACAGGCCAAGTACTACGAGTTGGCCAGGAAGGAGAGACAACTGCACATGCAGCTCTACCCAACCTGGTCTGCCAGGGACAACTACGTAAGAGCTTCCTTATCTTCCTGCTCCTCTTCCTCCACACTGACTGTTCCAATTTGCCACTGAAATTCCTGGTACCATATCAGTGCAGTCCACAAGAGGCAAAAAGACAAAGACGACTGTCCTGAGCTGAATAAAGATACAGCGAAACCAGGAAGATGCAAAAGTTAAAGAAGCTATTTGGTTGCTATGATTACAACACAGAACTAGAGGAGATCAGTTCTTAGTAAAAACGTGTACTCTCTTTAATCATTATAAAGCATAATCAGTCAGTGATAAACCTTTCCCATACCAGAGGGCATTATAGTGTATTTAAGTATTGTTTTCCTTTCATATTGATTCACCAGAGGTTTGAAGAAAAGATTTTACTGTGGTGAGCACAGTCAAAGAAACGCTGCCAATACTAGACTCTTAAAAAAATCTGTTATACATGTTATATAACAATGATACTGCAATCTAGACTATTTATACTCTGATCAATCATTATCCAAAATCAGTACTACTTCTTATATTTGTAGCAACACACTTCAACAATGCTGAGTTTGACAAACAATCCCTGCAAAGCTGCATTTGAGAAAATATGTCAAACGCTCTGAACAGTACAAACCATGCAATTAAATAAACACCAGGAACTGGTCCAACTGCTCTCTGGTTTGATGTCCAGTAAACAAAAACAAGGGTTTAAAAAACCAAAACAAAAAAAAAAAACTGGATCAATTCAACAATACAGAACTGAGTTCCTAAGGTCTTCACTTACTGGCTAATGCCGCAACAACCTGCATGATTACTGGCTCCCATACCTGTCAGTCAAACCATGATGCGACGTGGCATGGGTTCATTAAATGAGTATGCCAGAGTACAGGGTTAATCAAACCTGTGTGCATGCGTTTCAGTCTCATGTTGTGGGGATGTGCTGTGTGTGGGCTGCTGTGTGCCTCTCACGTGTCAGTGTGCTGTTGAACTCTTGCAGGAGGCGGGCCTTAGCGGGGTCGCAGGGGCAAAGAGTAAAGCTGATTGGGTAGGGACACGTCTTATGGTGGATTTATGCCTCTGTGGTGGAAAAACTGAGTATGTGAAGAGCTGCATGAAAGGGGTTGTGGGTATTCCTGTGCACAGTTTGCATGCACCTTCCAAAAATCTTAATGACTCACACACACACACACACACACACATACATCAGCCTCACAAACACGTACGCAACAGCAGCTGAAAACACAGCCTGATTAGTCAGTTATGGATGCAGTTCACTAGGTCTTGCACATTGCCATGGTTCTGATTACTAGACAGTTAAACTGTAAAATCACACAGATGTTTAACTCGACCTATTTCGCTCAACTAACAGAAAGCAGGGCCGCATGGCTGGCCTCACTGCCTCGCTGTCATCGCATCCCTTTGAAATACAATGCCTTCATTTTTGTAATTAGTGTAACTCAACAGTAACACATGGTGCACAGGTTTAAGTAAATCCAAAAGAGTCATACTCAAGTGAATTAGAACCTTTGGTTGTAACAGAGGCTGCTTTTCAGTCCCATTAGATACCTGGAAGGGTGGTAACCTGTTCATGGTTTACTCTGCTGTACTGCCTCGTCTCTTTACATCTGACTGAACTGAATTCTGCAGACAGACAGGCATGGCACATGACATTTTGTTCAGGCTGTGGTTTATAACTTATTCGCAACATCAGAACGAGTGCTTCATATCACAAATACGGGCACTGATTCACTACCAGTGTCGTCCATCTTTTCTTTTTTCATCACTGACAACACGGCACAGTGTGAGTTAATGAGTAGATTTTTTTCAAAGTAAAAGTTCTTAAGCCAACCTGCAAAGAGTTGTTTCCAGTACCACATGTTCTGATCTGAGTGTGTTATAAACCTGAGCTCTAGGAAACTGTGATCACGTAGGAGCTTCCGCTGTTTGCATGGAGCTTTGAGCAAGACATAACTCAAAAACCTTTTGTCACATCATTTTGCCACAAGTGTAAAAAAGGAACAAAAGCATTTAGCAGTTTTCTTTGGCACAGAGCAGTGTTGTCTGTTGGACACATATACATAAAACCAACATGTGTGATGACGACAAACACAGCCATTCAGGTCAACTAGTCTGTGCTTTAAACATCGTCTGCTGCATTTCATCAACCCCCACCCCACCGCTCTCCACACCCAGAGGTAAAAAAAAAACACTACTAGCAACACAGAAAGTTCCACACACCACCCCCAGAGCTGTGGAGGGGCTCTCCTTCGAGTCGCTACAAAAAAAGCTACATATATCATACGTGCACACAGACTTACACCCACAGACATAAAGCTTCAGCGAGGTGCAGTTGCAAAAGGAACTGTTGTAACCACATAGACACAACGCTGACAGCAAGCTGAGAAGGACCGACATTGAAGCGTAGGTGGTAGATTATCTACCCACATCCTTCATCTCAGCCAAATATGAAGCCTCACTTCACCATCACTGGATTGTGTGAACAGCTCTGATGTTTACCTCAAGAGTCACACAGCACAATCAGCCCGGAGACACTGAAACATGAAAACAGGCAAACCAGAAATCTTTAAAAATGGATTTTTGGAGTCTCTCGTCTCCTTTTTGCCACAACACATCAGTTTTTGCATGAATTCTGTTTCCAGTGACTTTAGTACCGCAAAATATTTTCTATTTATCTTTCTTGCTTTTTCTTGCTTTTGTAAAGTGCTGAAGATGGTTGCCTGTTTTTTCTGCTCTGTCTGCACTTTTGTACTTGAAATAAATTTAACTGTGACATAAGAAAACTCACTTTCTTATACAGTGCAGATTTCTGTTCATGACAAAATTGCATTTGGGACCAGGTCTCACCATGAGCAGTCACTTTCAAGGAGAGATTTCACATCAGGATAGTAAACAAACATATTAAAATAACCAGGAAAAGTCAAGAGAAACCCAGAAATTCTTTATGACAGCCCCAGTAGACAGATTGATTCATAAAGGAAGGAGAGAACAGCTGCACACCAGCACAATTGCATTATCTTACAAATGGTGGCTGACAGCTGATCTCCGTACATTATACATCTTGCAGGAACTACACATTAAGCCACAGTCAGACATCTGCTAATCAGTTCCAGCCCTGATGGTGAATTTTTCCCAGTTCAGTCATTTCAACAGTCTGACTCATGTCTTTGTGGGATTCTGTTTTTCCCCCAACAGGGCAAGAAGAAGAGGAGAAAAAGGGAGAAGCAGCAGGACTCCAACACAGGTAAATACCCACTAGCCAAGCATTGCTCTGGCCAGACACCATGGCACCAGGGTTCAGTCTGAGATAACAAACTGGACAATATGGGAGAGAACTCAGCTGAGTCAAACCAGCCATCCATCTAACCTGAACTGTAAACCTTTTAATCCCCAGTGTACAAATTTTATGTCAAGTTTAAATCGCCAGCAGACATTAAGGAAGTTCACCTGTTACATCAGTGTATTAAGGGGGACTAACATGTCTTAACACACAAGTCTGGAGAGAGCTGGTGACCCCCATTCGGCTTGCTTTTCATAAACTCTCCAAATGTTGTTAGTTCAGGCTCTTCTTCTCTTGGGTCACAATGCGTGAATGGAACCTGCAGTATTTTAAACCAGAGCTGTGGGAAGCCTTTGTTTGAAAACTGTTGAAACAGTCTGTCCAGAATCGAAACATCTTCCTCGGCTGTTGTAGGCCTTGTGGCCTTCCAGTGCAATTCGGTATTTCCTAGAAATTAAACGGAGACTTTGATAAACAGCTAGCAACTAACCTCGGTTTAATGCAGCTGTAGACTTAGAATTATTGTTTACCAAGTCTCACGTGATGCTCGATTGGGCCTCAGGTGAGCAGCTACTGCGCATGTCAATTTAAAATGAATAGCTATTTTAAATAGACCTTTAGTAGCATAAATTTGAGCAATACTTTTTTGTTTACTCGTTTGAAATCTGGCATTTGGCTGGCCCAGCTTCCTCATGGGGTGGCACAAGCACACCCTGGCACAGAACAGCATGCAAGCAGCTCTGGTAATTCATGTATGAGACTAACAGGAAAATAGAGATAGACATTAACACCCCTATGTGTGAATGTGAGTGATTATCAGTGTCTATGTGTGTCAGCCCTGTGATTGACTGGTGCCCTGCCCCATGTTGGCTGAGATTGACTCCAGGAAAGTGTGTTTCTAGATTTCATGAGTGGAAACCACTTGATATGGACCAGTTTATGACTGTTCTCTGTCTAATAATACTGAAAGCCTTATAAGATCATTTACTAACAGTGCCACAGCATAGCTGTCCTGTCTGATCTGGTTTCTTTCTAAGTCCTAACAGCCTGTTTTCAGGATGACTAGTGTGTTTAACTCATTTGTGTGTGTTGGGAGGTTATTCTTGTGCTTGTTGATGTTTTGCTGTGCTGCGATCAGCTACTAACAGTTTGGCTTTCTCTGAACAAAGCTCTGTTGGTGCTCTTTCCTGCCCTGACAAGTTCTTGTGTCTCTTCTTCTGTTTTCATCTCTCCTCTCTCCTTCCTTGCCTTCTAACCCTTTTCCTCTTCTTCTGCTCTTTTCTGTTTTTGCTTTTCATCCTCTTCTGTTTGTGCATGCTGTGTATGGGGCTCAGACCCGGGCTCTCCTAAGAAATGCCGGGCACGCTTCGGCCTCAACCAACAAACGGACTGGTGCGGTCCTTGCAGGTGTGTACCAAACATCCACCTCCACCCACTCCACAGCACCGCACTGCTGCTGTCCAACAAACTCCTCATCTCGCCTCCATTCTAACCATCTGTTCATCTGTGCATCACTTCAGCTTGTTATTGAAACATGCACATTTCTGCTGCAACTTAAAAAAAAAACAAACACCTAACCCAAAGCAATCACAGCCATGTTGTGTAGCATCCAATACACAATCATGAACAATTAGTACCAATTTGCAGCACCTGTATTTTAAAGAGTCAAACTTGGACAAAATATTTTAACCTTATTTTGAAGTTATAGTAGCTAAAGGTTTAATTCAGTAGCAAATGTTGCCAGATTCAATAAAGCTAATTGCGTTAGCAGCCATTTTTCTGTCATGCTTGTAATTGTGCACAAAAGTTGGGAGTTTTTCTTTTTTCCAACTGTGAACACAGGGCTACTCTGAGCCAGCTAAAATAATGTTTTTAATAGAAAAGAGGAAATACAGTTTCCAGAATTTAGTGCTCTGGCAACACCAGTTGGTAGATTTATTTATCTGTGACATACAGTATCTCTAGTCGTATTTACTACAGCAGTTATGACACTGACCCCAAGTGGGTTTTTTTCTAGACCTTCTCTCAAAATTTAAACAAATTCTGTTCCCCTATTTGGTAATATATTTAATCAGACGTGGGCCCGTGTTTCAGTCACAGCAGGAGTTACAGCAGACAACAGGACTTCACTGCAGGAGTCAGGAATCTTTGTGGTTCTGCAGAAACAGCTTCTACCACCACAGCACTGTAGCAACCCCGCCGTCTTCCCCGCCATCATGTCATGGAAATCTGAGAGTCTGTGTGTGTGTGTGTGTTTCGGTTTGAGAGAACAAAGGGGGGTGAATGTGGTTAGAGCAAATCCTTATCACCACAGCTCAACACACACACAGTCCCTGCAGCTTTGCATTTTGATGGCATTCTCATGCCCATCTGCTTTCAACTTTCTCCATTCATGCAATGTGGTAAACGGTGTCGTTTGATGGTGACATTTAGAAATCACTTTCTATTGCACTCTTCCTCCCACATTCCCTCTCTCTCTCTGTCTAAATACAGCCTAGCACCTTTCCTTGTGGTTAAACCTGGTGACTCATATCATATTCTGGTAATGATCATGGGATCCTGTTAACTGCTTTGATGCTGTGCTCAGTAGCACAAGTCTGCTTTTGAATATAACACCTCACAAAGCACAGCACATCACTGCTATTCGCCTGTTGGACACATGTGATACGTTTGGTGCAGAGTTGGAAAATGGTGGTGTGGACAAAAAAAAGGGAAACACTTAAAATGTAAATTCAATGCAATACTTTGTAGTGCTTATATTGTTTAAAACCGCAATGTGCACTCCTTTAGGTTGCTTATTTTGAACTGTCATGTTAAGGACTTTATTTAACACTAACAGTACCAGTACTACTACTACTACTACTACTAATAAACCAATGCTGCTATAGTAATAGGTCTATATAACAGTGTCGTCTACATAAATGTGGATTAGAATGTCATGCCTGCAAGTTAGGCAGATTGGAGCATATGCAGTGAGAATAGCATCAGTCCCAGGATTGAACCCTGGGGTTCTCCAAAATTTATAGAAGGCTGTCCCAGGTACAGTTTACCAGCTGTGTTGAAGGCTGCAGAATAGTCCTTGTCTTGCCAGGATGCCCTTTGACCTCTAGTGATCTTCCCTGGTTAAATAAAGGTTAAGTTAAAAAAACATTATTTAACAAAATGCAGATGGAGCGTACACAATATATTTAGTCAGGAGCCGACAATTTTAGGAATTTCCTCAGATGAATTTGTGGTTTTAGAAATTCTCATTCATGAACAGATGTACATAGACTGACACTAACAGTTTACTGTGCTGACCATACAGCATGTCTCCCTGTTCATTGACCTCAGTGTGAATGATGCATCTCACTGAAGCCCACTGATGTTTACCATCCACACTTTATTCACAGATAACTCTCTCTGACTGTTCCTAGGCGGAAAAAGAAGTGCATTCGCTACCTTCAAGGAGGAGGCTGCCCCAGCCCAACTTCTTCAGATTTAAGTGCTATAGACTCTCCCACATCCCCTTCCCCTGCCTGCCAACGTCTCTACCAGCACCAGCGTGCCCCCTCCCCATGCTGCTCCCCACCGCCCACTTCCCCATCAACACAACTTCCACTATCTCTGCCAACACACACAAACTCCCACACACACTTACCCCTGGAGCAGTCTGACGACAAACGCAGCAACCTCCATCTGCCCACAACCAAACACACCCCCTCACACCTGGAACTGTCCGGCAAGCATATGCACAGCTCGGCGATGGCGCTGTCAGCCGCCAAGGCTGCAGGACTTTCTCTTAAAGTGCTGACAGAGACCCAGTGATCACTCCAGTCTGCTCCCGTCCCTGATCCACCTCAGCATCCTCCAGAGCCATGAAGATTTCTCACATTTATCTACACCCCGTTGTTCTTTTGTCTGATTTTTTTTTTAAACTGAAGCTGGCAGGATGGTGGAGCAACCATTCAGTCATCAGTGACAACCAGCATCTGTTTGATTGTCCCACATTAAGAAACTGTATGATATTTGTTTCTATACCCATTACATCATTAACAGACCAACCAGGCTTTGTGCTTCTCAAAGCCGCCTCCACCTGATTGGTTGTCCAGCCAGTGTTCAGCACAGTTCATACTGCACATGTGGTTATCATCAGTTTTGTATTTTGTGGTTGTATGACAACTTCCTGGGACTGAACATGATGATTTGGAGAAGGCAAACCTTCAGTCTGGACGATGCAGCCAGCTCCAGACCACATACTCCCAGCTGCACAGAGACAGACTCGTGCTGAAGGCAGAATTTGTTTTAGCGGTTATTTGGCTCCATCTGCTGCAGTTAAACTCAGTTAAAGCAATTAGTTCTGCGCTGAGGAACGCTCTGTCTCTGAGAAATCCTTTTTAAAGCTCATTAGCCCCTA